CTAGGAACAGCTGCGGGTAGATACGATGAGCACTATGATTGTGTCATGCTTGGAGCATAAGGTAAACAAATAATAAATTTAAAAAAAATTGTGAACGTTTGTGTGTTAAAGGATATATAATTATAATATTAATAATTATTTGAATGAACAAATAATAAATTTAAAAAAAAATTGTGAACGTTTGTGTGTTAAAGGATATATAATTATAATATTAATAATTATTTGAATGATAACACACTCTGGTAATGAACTGATCGATCCAGGCTCTTTCAATCAGAGTTCTTATATTGTATTTGTAATGAATTCATGTCAAACTGCTTATTTAAAAAAAAATTAAAAAAAAGCCCGCTGAGTTTCTTTCGCCGGTTCTTCTCTATACAGTGGCTTTTCCGAACCGGTGGTAGTGTTTTGAGTAGTCATCTATCTCATCGTTGAGTAGTGTTTTGAGTAGAAGCTAGTGTAATGCTTCTATGTTGAATAAAGACATTTGATTTTGAATACTATATCACCAATATTAATAAGCCGCTATGATAGTTTTTTTTTATGTGAAAAGTTGCCAAACGAGCTGACGGCTCACCTGATGGTAAGTGAATACCGCCGCCCATGGACATCTGCTACACCCGAGGGTTACAGGTACGTTGACAACCTTTAGAAAATTGGGCTCCGGCTACCTCACTTACCAGACGAAACGCGAAAGTATTTGACATACTTCCACTTTACGCTGGTCTTCTGTGAGGTCGTGGTACTTACCCGGACGGGCCTGCCCATGCGTGCAACATCCGAGGCTGCTGCTTGGCCCTACCACCGTATATACCGATAGTGATACAGTTAGGATGTGGGTTCTGATTGATGATGATTTAGAAATTGATCTGTCAGCCAGATAGTCCAAGACGATCCTTCGTGATTTATTACGGCGTTCTCGTGATCCTGGTTTAGACAATGAGTTCGTCTTTGACACTGTTAATCAAATAAGCTGTTGTCACTTAGAGGACGCGAACATTACATGACGCAATTTGTTGCGTCCTCCACTATGAACCGGATAGTACCTACGCTCAAAATGTCTATTTCGCTAATGGTCTAATTTTTCATTACCAATTTTTCGCAAGCAACCAATACCACCGTGTTTTTTATGCGAGAAGGTAGTAAGCTAGCTGGTGATGGTTCACAAGTGGGCCCAGGCTACCTCACTTACCGAGGGAAACGTAGATGCATAACTTCTACACCACGACAGTCTTCTGTGAGGACGTGAATTACCCGGACGGACCTGCGTTGTTGTGCTACAACGAAGACTGTTGACTGGCTCTCTCACAGTAAAATATCTGTATATTTTATATAATTCATTAAGTTAGTAAAAAAATATCTAAAATTCCAGACATAGTAAACAGAATAAGTAACTAGAATTCATATTCAAATCAGACTATCTAGTAGCAAAATTTTTGAAAAGGTCTAAATACGCTGTTTGGTAGGAATATTTTTATTTTTCCAGTAATATTTCCTGCGTAACATTTTAGATTATACGTCTGGTTATCTGGCTGTCTGGTTGTCACCATAGAGAATTTTAAATTACCGTTAATAAGACGGTTAGAATGAGACGATTGAAGCATCAAAATCGGCCCACGCGTTTGGTCTTTATCGTGCCATAGGGTAACGAACATACATACAGAGGCTGATAAACACATTACCCTCTTTTACGTCACGCAGTCGGGTGAAAAGGTGAGTAAGTAACTCAACATTGGCATCATCATTACGCATCGCTTAGTCGATAGAATTTAATTTTTGTCAAAGAAGGTTGCGAAAAAGTAAGAAGAATATTTATTACCTGCTGTGTTTTTACGTAATCAAAATTTTGATATTATTTATGGGCAATTGCGATTTCTATTATTGCTCACAAGATGCTTTTCAACCTGAAACCAAATATGTTTCATATAGCAATATATATATATATACCGTCCTACTGTCCACCGCTATTAATCCATATTAATTTTATAAATGCGAAAGTAACTCTGTCTTGCTTTCCCGCCAAAACTACAAAACCGATTCAAAATTTGGAGACAGTACATAGGCTATTTTTAATTGGAAAAAAGTGTTGTAAAGGGTTGAAAATATCTTTCTTTAAAAGGTTTCTATTTATTGCGTAATGCCCGCGTAGATATATATTTACGCGGGCGAAGCCTCGGGCGAAAAGCTAGTGTTACATAATTTCGCTTTTACGGATTCGGTGTCTTCAAATCACAAAGAAACTTTAAAATTAAAAACTTAATGTCAGAAAGTTGCATGGCACAAACAGCAGCATGCATATAGTATGTTCACTTAATGGTCAATTAGTGAAGGCGGATGCCATCCACTGAGCCGGAGATTTCGCACCAACGACCCTGAGGCTTATCTTTCGTCTGTTGTAATTTGACTCTGAAGCTTTCAAACGCCCAATAAAGCTTGCTTTGTTTTGGATTGGGCAACATTAGATTCATTTAAACGACGTTTTAATGCAATCCGTCCTATAATAGGATGGTAATCTAGTTGTACTAAGTTGGTGATAAAAAAGTATAAATTGTCTTTTGATCTTTTTTATTTGAAACGGAATATATATTTCACTATTGTAGGTAACGTTTTAACGCTAACGCTAATATTAATATTGTAGATAACCGTGGCGTGAAATTTAATTAGGTTTCTTGAGATGGAATTATGGCCGAAGTAAATAATGTACCTCGTTAATTTTACTTTTATTTTCTCCTTCCTGCATTACACGTCTGAATATGACTTAAATGTAATTCCTCAGATATATATTTTATAAAGGTCATTGGTAAGGTTCCAATTCCTACACGTGTTACCGTCCTCTCAGTTTAATTAAGTAAAGACTACTATAATTTGTAAAAAAAGTATGAAAAGATCATCGCCGCTATGGGAGTCGAACCCACGTCTTCGGCATCGCGGCTTGACGCTTTAGCCACTAAGCTAAACGGCTGATTGCCACACCGACGAAAATATTAACGTCTTTTATCTACATTGTTTTTATAGCATTTGAAGCAATGCTTGGCGCCTCCATTGTATCATGTTACAAATGCAGGACCAGGGCAGTGATATTTGCGACAAAGTTTTTAATATGTCCAAAAAAAGGTACAGTATTTATTGTTTTTGACAGTCGTCCAGGCAATTAAAAAAAGAAAAAGTTTGCTGTTGTAGAGGTCATTACTCATGTATACATGTAAATATGAATATTGTTTCCGAAGTATATTGAACGATCGCCGGAGACCACCTAGCCTTTCTCTAACCGTGACTGGCCTTAACTTTTTTCATATTCTTATTGCAGTTCCATTCTAATATCTATTATGAGTTCAAAATCTAATTCGGATTATCTACAAGTTAAGTATGACGTACTTTCAAATTATGCTAGCAAGTTCATGTCGTTATTGCATGGGTAAATGAACTTCTATTACGTCTTATTTCCTATACTCGTATATTGTAATGCTGAACACATATCAATATATATTCGAACTTAGCATGTATACTGTGATTTTTTTTATTTCTTTTTGACTTACCAAAATCCAAGTGAATTTCATTTAATTGAATGAAATAAGGACTATGTTACATCAGAATAATGGTCTTTACAACTTTTGGATTGCCTTCAGCATCTTTACCATTTACTCTATGTATTAAAACAAACAGAAGAAATTTTTAAATTATACGCAATGTCTCTATAAAAGTATTAATTATTCTATATAACAAAAATGATCTTAATTAGACTGAAAATAAAATAAATTCGTGAGTGTCGGTTTTACATTGACCTTATAACGTTGAACACTTCAGTTGGTCCTTAGGCCGACGATTTCATATAGTTCTTAAAAGTCGCTATTTTTAAAATAAATATAAAGCAATAAAATCAGTCCAACAGTTACATTTTTCATGTAAATATTGTCACTTTAAATGGTGAAGAATAATTGCCAACTTTTTTTTGGATGCAAAGCACTTGTTTTGTTACTGGAATATGAAACGTCTATTAAAGTTTTATTATTTATTTTTATCATTAGGGCTATGACGGTACACTGGGTAAATGTTATTAAATCTAAAGAAGTAATGCGGAAAAAATATAAATATTACTCGTTAATTGTTTTTTCTCTCTGGTGTACAAAGGTCAGTAAAGGGACATGAAGTTGTTTTCTGCGGGAGGTCATTAACCTTTTATTAATTTATATAATATTATCAACTATAGCGTGAAAGAACTTTGTTAGATAAACGTTGCTTTCCTGCTATTATTATATAAATTCATTATTACCTACTAAAAAGTTGCAAATCAATGTCATTTTTAATATTTATGATATTTCCAATTAAATTAATGAAATAACTGGAAGGATTAAATTCCCAAATTTAGTGAGTGGTATAGTAATTAATTCAAATATTTATTAAGTTATTTTAAGGATGAATTTAGTAAACGTTCTTACGTGTTATACTTCGTGTTATATTTCGTCCTTGGTTGAGATACGTAAAGATAGAAAGAAAGTAAACTAAAAACAGAATATTGTAGATAAGCACGCATAAACGCACGCATAAATGTCCTGAAAGTATAACCCAGGTATAATAAATTGGAGGCAATCTAGTTTGTTAAACTTATTGACACGAATAAAATTTCGAGAACATACTCCTGCGAAGGTAATCATTCGTGTAAGTTCATGTTAAATAATCGGAATAAATGATATTTGAGCACCTACACTACGCGATGCGCCCACCAAAGAGCAACAATGAGGAGAAAAAAAAAATATTTCGCAACAAAGCCAACCCTGAGGCATCGCAAAACATAAAAATAATACAGCGCCTACATATACCAGCCATCTTGTTCAACCATTCACTCCCCGCCTGTCGGGTTCGAATAAAACCCCGCGAAAATCGAATGTGGAACCCAGTCGTGTCGCGCGAACGCAACGCGGAGTTGTCACTTGATAAAAGACCGCGTATCCCGGTTATATCTTTCACCTTCCCCAATCGGCACTCGTAAGGTGTTCGCCAAGATGAAGTACCTTTTTGTTCTTGCCGTATTCGCATTGGCTTTCGCCGCCGAAGAGGAGAAGGATGGAGAAAGGCCGAAGACTTTCAGGCGGCTGATTCCCGCTGACGTGTTAAGAGGTTAGTGACCCGTTGATGTTTAATGGAAAAGTATAATTATGTTCGATATTTAAAATGTTTAATTAAGATCAAATGTATTTCATGCATATTATAATTATTATTTTCTAAGAAATCAGAATAACAATTATTTTCGGATAATCCATATTTTTCATAAATTAAAGCACTGACAAAAATGTATTACATGAAATGTATTTTTTAAAGGGCTTTTAAAAAATTGTGTAATTATAAGAACTGAGTTCTTTTAAATACACACCACTTATTATGAGAGAGACGACTCTTGATCTATGTTTAATCCAAGTTCAAGGTTGCAATTAATTTTTGAGCCCATAAATTAAGATATGCTTCCATATTGAGCTTGATTGTGATAATTATGTCTGTGGCCGTTAATTTCAAATAAAATATAATTATGGTGAGATATCCAAGCTCTATATTGTAAAAAACTAATTTAGCTCCATGAAATAAGTTAGTTTATTCTCATTATACTACTTTATTCCTTTTTGATTTTGATTTGCTTTATTTACTGGAAATTTTAAAATTGACTTCATTTACTGAAAATGTATTTACGTGAAATATTCCTTCTTCATTTTTCGAATAATGAATTTTTATTGGTGTATATCATGCATTATTTTAATAACAAACAGAACCCATATAAAAAAATTAATCTTTAAATTCCGCACCATAAAAATTGAGATGCCTGTCCGGTTTCAAAATTAAATTCACCGGAATGTCAAGTCTGTGACACATCCTTGATGGTAACATAAAATTTTACGCCTTATAAATATAAACAGGTAATTTACTTGCATGTTTGGATTTAATGTATTCATTAATAGAGCAGTGTTGCTCGATCTACATTGAAAAATATGCAACTGTACGATTGTTTAACACTTTCGTTTTCATAATTACATAACGACCGTTATGATAGTGACTGTAGATGAATGAGTAACTTTGCCGCGTTAATTATCGGGTAAAACACGAACAGTTACATTTAACTTTATTTACCCAACCTGTTACACAATGGTGGTACGGCACTAATTTTTTGAATAAATTCTCTTAAGATTCAATTACTGTCTCACCGTGTTAAAATACGAGGACCGATCGAATTAGTTATATAAATTCTCGATTGGTGCAATGAAAGAAAAAAATAGTAGATACGTGTAAATTGTCGTATCTAGATCATTGGAAACTGGACCAGCCGGTTTCTTACTTGGCAACGCATGGCAATTGATTTTGCTACAGATTATATAATAATTACACCTTTAATACATTGCTATGACATAAGCGAGGCATTACAATTCGTTTAAAGACCGCCTCCAAATTAAGAAATTTCATACACTTTTACGATATTTCATATATTTATATAGTTGCTACTTTCGATAAATATTGATATAATATTGGCATATTAACGTATAGCATAAATTTGACACTTACATCTTAATTTTACGACCAGATTGGTGTAGTGGATAATGAGACTAAATTTTGCGCTAGAGGGTGTTGGTTCGATTCCCACTACTGGACAAATATTTGGTTGAATGTCGAACAATGTATTTTGCTAGTGTCTTGGCGTTTTATGTATCGATAATATGTATTTATTTATAGCTAGCGACCCGCCCCGGCTTCACGCTGGTGCGCGATTGATGCTTATACATATAAACCTTCCTCTTGAATTACTCTATCTAGTAAAAATAACAACATCAAGACGTTGCGTAGTTTTAAAGATCTGAGCATACATAGCGACAGACAGACAGCGGGAAGACTTTCTTTTATACTATGTAGTCATGAAAATTATGTTTAAGTTTGTTTATCAGTTATCTAGTGGAAGCATTGATTGGCTTGGGATTAGATAATTTCATATAAAAATAAGAACTAAAGTATTATTTATTTATTTATTTATTTTAAATCTGTAACTTGTCAATTATAACCTTTTATGTTGCAAAAAATGGAAAATTCTATAATAGTTATTAATATATGGTCTATGATTATTTTTGTAAAGGCATGCTGATAAAATAAAATGTACGGTATAATCACAGCGAAACATTTTATTACGTATTAAAGTTTTTAACTTAGTATGATTTGCATTTAATCAAAATTCAAAAAATAAAAGAAAAACTTTTAATTTCCAGTTTCAATAACTAAATATTCATCTTGAGCATAATAAATTTTATAGTATATAAGTTTCGACTATATATTATTTATAGTATATAAGTTTCGACTCTACATGGATAAAGCAAGTATTACAAGATCTGAGATATAAACTACTAATGCAAACTATGCCCCATTCGGTTGTGTCTGTTGCAAAGCAACAATATATATATATTTTTTTTTGAAGTTGAAGTGACAACGATAGATTGAAGTATCGTGAAACCACTCTCGCACTTTCTCGAATTACTTTGAATTACCTTCCGCGTCGATACTTTTACTTATAACTGCTTTTATAAAACGTAATTTGTTATTTATCTGAGAATTAAATATAAAAAACCTTATCTATCTTCTCTTTATAGCAATAGTATATCTCAACTCTATTACTTCCATGGAAAGTTGAGAGACGAGCAGATGTTTTACCTGATGTCAGATGATAACTGCAACGCATGATCTTCTACAACAGCTGTGGAGCGATAGATGTGATTCCAACATACATAGCACTGGGCTCCAGTGATCTCACTATCTGGGCAGAACGCGATCGTATTCTACTTCCCGGATGAGCCATGCATTTGTGCAACAGGAGAATCTATTGTGTGGCCCTACTACATCTCACAATAAACTCAAAAATTTAATTGAATAATAAGTGCCATTTATATCATACTAGCTGACCCGGCAAACGTGGTTTTGTCATATAAATTATTTGTAGGGTAGAAAAAAATGTTTGGGGTGGACCACCCTTAACATTTAGGGGGATGAAAAATAGATGTTGTCCGATTCTCTACCCTGACCGATATGCATACAAAATTTCATGAAAATCGGTCATGCCGTTTCGGAGGAGTTCAATTACAAGCACCGTGACGCGAGAATTTTATATATTAGAGATTTAATCATAGATGACTGTCCGTCTAAAAGTTTTTCTAAAATGTAGCCCGAAGGGCGCAACGGATTTCAATAATAAACAATAAAAAGATATTTACGTTTTTTGTTCAATTACGATATCTTTTGAAATATGGCAATTATTTATAACGAATATGATATTCAAGGGTACATGTAAATTCATAAACTAGTATTTAATAATTCAAATGGCGAAAATAGCGTAGACAGTTGTAGCGTAAGTAAGTTTAAGTTATGTTCTTATGCATGCTGCCGGCGCCTTTAATTGTCATGACACTAACGAATACTTGATGTATAATTATTTTCTTTAATATTACATAGTGTACATTATGTTGGCGTTCATTAAATAAATAAATAAATAAATGATAATAAACTCTTTAAACCAACCAACTGTAACTGTTCCACTTAACTATGATCAATGTTTTATATGTACTCAAAGATTCAATTTGTATGTAATATAATCAGAAGAAATATTAGACGCTTGTTAATTTTCCCAAATGGCTACGTATAATACGGCAGTGCATTACCGTTCGTCGCAATAATGTAGGAAATGTTGCAATTGCTGCAGCGCTGCAATTCGCAATCGATTCGATAGCATCGGCTGGAATTAACCTACTCAGTTGGCTAATACTATAACGATGCGTTCCGAATCTCTAAAAGCCCATTTTACACGTTACAGATTATATAACAATTATTTATAAAAAAATATAACAGAAATATATACAATTGAACCAATGAAATAAATACAAAAATTGATTCATTAAAATTTGTATTTAGCAAATTATTTATGTTGCATGAATAAAACTATTTTTCTACCGTGGCTCGACAGAGAGGTCCCATTAGAAATCTTACTGTTATTATTTACGAGATAACAGTATTGGTACTTGAAAAACATATCCCATGCCCGATTCATATCTATCCAAATGACACAGACACAGACAAGACACAGATACTAACCCTCATATTTCGATCGTCGTCTTCTTCATTTCAGCCTATTTTAGTTCACGACTGGACTAACGCACTCAACTCCTTGAAATGATAGGAATGATCAATTCAAGGAGTTTAACAATCCTTTTGGCAACTGAAAATAACATTTTAAAATCTATTTGGCAGCTGGTTACTCGACTTGTACGACGTTTCAGAAACCGGGCGTAAGACTTTCACATTTAGCAAAGTTTTATAATTTTAGTGAACGTCGACTCAAGTTGCGTGTTTGAATCCAGTGGCATGCACACTGGGTTTTTCGATTTTTACACTGTCTCGTGCGACTTCCTTCAATGCCATCAGATTTAAAATATGGGGCTGTTCTTTGATTAAATTGCTTAATCTGTAAGATTATGAAATTATTTATCTAGATTATGAAATTATTATTTATCTATATCGATATTAGCTCGGTGAAATGTGAATTTCGTTAATTTCTATACTTTCTGTCCATCCCATTAGGCCTAAGAAGCGACGGCACGCTAAAGAGTTTTAAACATAAAGAAAATCAATCTAAGCGCACCTACTATTTGTTTCATTATGTTACAATGGACTACTTAAAAAAAATATGACTTCCTTCAAACAGATCCGCTCGGCGGTAACACGAGCGAAAGGAAATCGCTCTACCTGTGTTGCATAATCAACAGGATGGCAAGGCACACGGACACTGTTGGTGGAAAAAAACTGGACGGTCCATTAAGTTAATGATATTCGCACCGGTTTCAAACTCGCTAGGGTTGAATGCAACGCCAAAACCTGACGGTACCGTTACGGCAAAATTATTGCCGCTTTGTGTTCGTTCTTACTGCTATGAAAGCGGCAAAGACGTTTCTGTCTATATTCCAATTAATAAACACTGAATATTATTTTCGTTTACCGCGAAATTTTCACATAATTTTCTCATAACGTCAATCCATGAAATATTTTAATAATACACAAAATAATGCTTTTCTTCAAAAAAACTTATCATTTGCTTTGGGGTCTGC